GTATTCGCTATCTATAAACCGTAAGAAGAAGTTTCACAGCAGCACGTACTCTACCGTTGTTCACGCTGTCGACATTACGTATCATGACCCGCAGGTCGCGGGATAATTGTTCCGCCGTGGCAGCCACATTTTAGATGAAGGCGAAAATGCTTGAAACCAGTGTGCTTAGCTTTAGTAGTATGTCAGAAACCTCTGGTGATCGCAATATCCGGAGCCTTTTACTACGTCATCTTTCATAACTATAGCATGGTTTCGGGACATTAAACCATGACAAAAAGAAGAAGACATTACGAGTTGTGGCCTGCCGTGACAAGATTTCGACGATGGGATGATTCCTTTAAATGCGCTTTGAATCATCGGCGCTTACCGCCTAAGAAAAAAAAAACCGCAGCATATCCACAGAGTAAATGATGATGAGTGGAAAGATGCATCCGTTAGTCCGTCCGCGCTTCCGTCTGTCCATGCGTCCATCCGTCCGTCCATCCGTACGTGAAACAGACAGACAGACGACAGACGGACGTGGCCAGTGGATTATTCACGGTTTGCCGATAAAACCCCTCGATGCTTTGCTACACTCATCATCATTCACTCCGTGGATATGCTCTGAGGTGGTTACTACATACATGCATACATACAGGTGACGACTGACTCACGCCTTAAGGAGCTTCACTTGTAAGTCATCTCGTAGTTTACAAAGCTCCTTAGCACGTTAGTATTAAAGAGTTCATTAAATAAAATTGATGTGTAAACGGTCGGCATCGGTGTCGTTAGCTGACAGCGAAAATTCGGCGTTGTCAGTGAGCGCAATTTTCAAAAACATGCAAATGACTATATAATGAATTTGCTTGGTTCGAGTGAAAAATCAAACTAGGAACTACTGCGGGGCAAGCAAGTGTTCCACCAAAGCCTCTCTACTGCTTTGGAGTGTAAAAAGAAAAAAAAAGAAAATAACCAACACGATTGCGATGTAGGGCGAAGAGCCTCCTTAGCGCTTGTAATAATGCGTGGAAGAAACGCAAAACACGCAAGGCTTCAAACTTTATGTGATTGAGGCTAAAAAAAAAAACGAAGTTACTGAACTAAAATGCACTGAACTGGAATTTATTTTTATTTTGCAGTTTTCACGAACCCTTAGAAGTACACGTATTGGGGCTTGTTAGTGCATTCTTTCAGGTGCGATGAATTGCGCAAAAAATACAGCATACGAAAGACGACAGAGACGACGAAACTTTCTGTAATACCTGTTCTAAGTTTGCACAGGTGTCGTTGGCTCTGTCGTTCAGTTACTGTGTTTTTTTCGAAATCCTTCATTATCTGAAAGTCGGCACCCCCGAAGTGGTGTAGTCGTCATGGGGAAAGTCTGGTGACCTGAAGGACGCGGTATATCGAATCCCAGCCACAACGGCCGCAATTCGACGCTTGATTGATTGATATGTGGGGTTTAACGTCCCAAAACCACCATATGGTTATGAGAGACGCCGTAGTGGAGGGCTCCGGAAATTTCGACCACCTGGGGTTCTTTAACGTGCACCCAAATCTGAGCGCAATTCAACGCAAGCCAATTGCTAGACGACTGTGAGCTTAGATTTAGCCGCACTCGTTAAAACATCCCAGGCGGTTGAAGTTTCCGGAGTCTTCCTCTGCGGCGTCTCTCATAACTATGGTTGTTGTCGGACGATAAATCCCAACAATTATGATTATTTTGCAGTTTGCTACTCCAGTTCCGAAAACCAGATTACGTTTGAAACACACATCTCAGCAACGTAGCAACTTGAAACAAAATTGGCAGCTAGTCTGGCGCGACATCAAAGATCTCTTTGTGAGCGTGTATTACACAGACATCCCTCCAAAAGTCACCGACGCCAACGACAACTACTGTAAAATTAGGAGCACCAGACCCATTCAGCCATCTGTTCAGGTACACCAGCGTTGGAGGAACAGCGGCATCGCTGAGCCGGCTCTATTTTGTCCTTGTTTAAGTAACATTGTGCCGTTAGTAACATTGAAAAGTCGCTCCGTTGGCGCGGATAAGGGTCAGATTGGGTTGAAGAACCTGTTGTTTATTTATGGGTATGGTTCTTCAGTGTCACTATTGTTTCGCCATCCGCGCCACCGGAAACACTTTTTACCATGGCGAAATAAATCTGCAATGTAATAATATTGATGTCACACAAGCACTTATGATCGTGATCACGCACGCAAGTCGGCAAAAGCTGTGGAGGTCAATCAGACTCATTCACAAAATATATTTTAAGCTTAGAACTCACTCAGACACACACTCGCTAAAACTTTCGTGGGCCGGACTCACACTCACGAAAATTTTCTTCAACGGGATTGACTCGAACTTAGTCTCATGGCTTTATCAGAGTCTGAGCGAGTCCGCTCATGAGTCTATTAGCTTTTTAGAACAAGGTTTCAGTGTTAGTTAACATCAATATCTCACGCAATCAGTGCTCTTCTTGGCGCTTTTTGATATAGCACTTACGAATACGAGTTGTGAGTGGTGATAAACCAGTAAGGACCTTATCATTCAAAGAGATGACAACAAAAGATATATTTATCATGATTCTACCTGGAAGAGTTGGCGGTAATAGAAGACCACACAGATCATACCCTACGTAATTCACGTGCCTTACCAATGAATATAGAAAGGCGCATGCTTTGGAATACGTGCAAGTAGACGTGAGTATATACGGGAATCCAGAAAAAGCTGATAATAAGCCTGAACGGGAGAAGGTATGACCATTGGTCGAGAATTAAAGGTGGCAGTCGCTCAGACCGACCCAAGAAATATATCTTGCGTTTCGGACTCCCTTGGACCCAGACTCAACAAAAATTTACTGAACCGGACTCACGCTCACGAAAATTTTCTTTAGCCGGATTCATTTAGATTCAAACTCACCACAAGATTACTCTCCTAAACTCACTAAGACTCAGACCAGCACTTGATCTGACTCTGAGTTAACGCGAGTGAGTGGACTCGTAAGCGCGTTCGCCGAACTATGATTCCATGTAATCCAGATGGAATTTCTTAATCGTTATGGGCGCCCCGCCGCGGTGGTCTAGTGGCTAAGGTACTCGGCTGCTGACCCGCAGGGCGCGGGTTCGAATCCCGGCTGCGGCGGCTGCATTTCCGATGGAGGCGGAAATGTTGTAGGCCCGTGTGCTCAGATTTGGGTGCACGTTAAAGAACCCCAGGTGGTCTAAATTAGCGGAGCCCTCCACTACGGCGTCTCTCATAATCATATAGTGGTTTTGGGACGTTAAACCCCACATATCAATCAATCAATCGTTATGTGCGCTTTTAGAATGCGCCAAATCATAATTGTGTAGAATGCGCCAAATCATAATTGAGCATTGGGATGTCAATCGGGTTTAAGTGCACGGCGTGACAACAGTATTAAGCGATGACACCTTTCTGATGCTCACAATGAAGTGTCAGGTGCTTCTACTCTCAGATTTCAGTGCATTAGTTCGGTACACTGTCCTTTTTTTACGGAAGGAAACACGCGAGCGCGTGGCCTGCCTCCTGCCACGGCTTCCCACAGCACCATCAACTGATAAAGAAAGTGCGTTCGCTTGTGGCGTCATTTATTAGCAAAACAAATACCGAGTTATGATCGTTGGAGAAGCGCTGCCCCTCCCGCTCTGGTCCTGCTACAGACAACACCGCCAAAGGCGGACGCACTTTCTTCGTCTGTCCGCTGATGGTGCTGTATAGGCAGCCGCGGAAGAGCGCAGGCCAAGAGCTCTCGGATTGCCTGTCATAAAAAAAAAAGACGCTACGTAAAGTCGTATCAGTTAGTTCATGAATGATGAACTCCTGTTAGAGTAAATTCCAAGTTTTTTCATCACTTTTCAAGAGTAACAGAAATGTAACTTTATATTTTCGAGCAGCTGCACTTTGCAATGTAATTTCACTACATTGAAAAAAAAAACCTCAGTGAAGAAATCTGTAATGTAATCTGATTCCTTTCTACGAATGATTGTGGATTCTTTGGCCCTCCGTGGCGAACTAATGAAATACGGAAAGCGCACCAGTGTCTATGTTCTACCTTCTGCGTTATCTCGCCACACGACATTCGTTGCGCCTAATCGCTCGTTGAAAGCAATACTCGTGTCACACCACCAATAAATGAGGTAACTAAAGCAGTGAATGAGGCCGCTATGGGCTCCATCGAGTTTGCCTGAGCAGTAGTATCTGTTCTACCTGACCGCGTTACGCGGCGGCCTTTTTCACTATCGGGGACGCTAACGGAACAAGCTCGTCTGGCGCGAGAGCATCCGCGGACGCGCGACTGAGAGACACCTGTGGAAAGACAAAAAAATAAATAATAAAAGACGACGCCTCGAGTGAATTTCAAGCGGCAGGAAAAGCAATTCTCCCGGGCGGTTTCAAACACCCTGGCACAGCGTGCAGCCCGTCACGGCGAGAATTCTGGAGCGTGAAAACGCCACACTTTTCTTCGCCGCTGCCCACGTCGGGTACACTCTCCCGTTCCGGGCGTGTTATGAGGTTTCCGCAGGGCTGCTCAAGGCATCTCAGCACGAAGCAGCTCGGGGTACTCGTCGTGGCACGCACGGTGAATGATGTACCACTCCCCTCCTTCCCGCCACCCTCACCGCGTGGCGGACACGCGAGTGTCTCCTCTCTTTTTTTTTTTTTTGTCGCGCAAGAGCACAAATGACTACATGAATTCGGCAACGACAAAAAAAAAAAAAAGGAAGCAGCTCCTGGAGCGCTGTACACAACAGCCTTAATTGAAAGCTTAAACAAGCGCGCAACTCCCAACGACAACGGCGAAGAGAAACGCGTGTGCTCTCCTGCGTGAGGAGGCGAGTGGCGGCGTGCTCGGGCTGAGAGAGTGCGTACGCGTGGCGCGGGTCTACCTGAGTGGCGGCGAGGGGCCGGACCTTTGGTGAGAGAAGTCCCGTTTTCAGTGTCACGGGTGAGTGGCCGGCTGCCTTGCTCTGTCTCAAGAAGGTCAGTCTAGCCCCAGCCAGCGGATCACACAGCAGCACCGTCTGCCACAGTGTGCGCGCGCCTCCCTTCCTTCGCCAAGCGTCGTTACAGTTGTGCGCGGACCACGGCAGCAGCAGCAGCCGGCATCCCATTGAGACAGACTGCCACTTTACTTCTTCGACACCGTTGAACCGGCGAGCCAGTCGCGCACTTATGGGAGCGGAAGGAGTTAGCCAGTCGGCGTAAACGCGATGAACAAGCCACCCACACGGCAGTGACAGAGCTTGCGGTCATCGAAGAGGCGTTCATAAGTAGCGGCTGTGCTCCTTTCTTTTTTTTTTTTCCGAGAAAAGCTTGCCTGGCGACGGAAATCCGTACCCGAGTGGAGGAGAGGACGCCCAAGAGCGGGATGATGACCACTGCCACTGTGTGAGAAGTAAGGGAGACGCAACCCGATTTTTCTGCGCTGCACCGTCATCGACGCCCACGGCTGCTTTTTGCCTTCGTTCGACGCGTTGTCGCTCTTGGTGTCACCGGATTACGGGCTGCCACAGGGGGGTCGTGGACCTCGGCACCGAAGCCGAAGCGCCATGGTGAGTAAATAGTGCTGTCCTGCGTGTTTCCTGTCCTGGCCCCGAAGCGCGGCTAGAGCCTCCGCTGGTATTGGCTCTCGCCGCCCTTCTTACCCCGTGTGCCGTGTCAAACGTCGCGGACTAAAGAGAAACACCGCGGATGCTGTTTGTGACACTGGGAGCATCGGAAAGATCAGAGACAACGTCCCGCGCCTGGCCGCTTACACTCTTTGTGGCCCGGAGGGACAAAACAGAAACGCCACTAACTCGCCTGTCGAGTTTTCTTTACTTTTGCTTTTTTTTTTTCGTGGTAGACAACAACAAATCATGCAATAACGTCGTGAAAAAAACTGCGTGTTTTCTTGTCGCAAACTTGAAGTAGAGAGACTAATATCAGTTTCCTGTCCCCGAAAGGATTAACACGCCTTGGATGAAAAAAAAAAAAGGGCCATCGGCGCTTTCTTTCTTCATGACCGTTGTTACGAGCTTCTTTAGGACGTTTATATGACACGGCGAAACTGAGAATTCTACTTATCTGATATATAGTGGCGAGGAGGCATGTATAGTACGTTTGTTTGAGTGTCATTGTGCTCCATGAGTGATCGCGCTGCATTATGTCAAGTCATAAAGATCTCATACCCCGTTTTCATGCTTGCACAATAGTGAGCTGGGTCATTTTCTTCATCTTGGCGTTTTACTCTTCTTTTTTTGCAGCAGTTGCTGAGAATGAACTTATCGTTGCTATGAACCCACGTTAATATTTTTTTTCACTCAGCCTATATTTAACTGACAAGTCGCATTTCGCTACTGCGGTTCGCCGCACAAAGTTATCTGTATCCAGTAGCGATGATACATAAAATGGAGAGTGAAGTCTTTCCGTATCCTCGGAAGAAATTTCCCTCTGCATTTATCGGCTGCGTGAGCTTGTTTGTAATTAAGGCTGAAATTCTGCAGTTGCACAATTGAGTGTCAGCGGAATGCCATCTTCCGTTTCGGGAGAGAGTCCGCCTCGGTGAAGTGGTGCCTATGGCGCTCGGCTGCAGACCCAGAGGCCGCGAATTCATTCGCGGCTGCGGCGGTCGCATTTAGATGGAGTTAAAATGGTAGAGGTCCGTGTACTGTGCAATTTCAGTGCACGTTAAAGAACAGCAGATGGCGGAACTTTCTAGAGCGCTCAACTACAGCGTCACTCATAATCATATGGTGGTCTGGAAACGTGAAACTTCACATACTATTATTTTGGGGGGAGATTGAAGAGAAACTAACTATATCATTACGTCGTGGCACGTCGCTGTCAATTGGGTAATTAAATGATCACGTGAGATAGCGAGTGCAAAAGATTGAGGTATTAGAATAGCAGTTAGAATATCCGTAAAAAGAAGACGCATGGAGATAAGCTTCTCACAGAGCGTATCTCCCGCGTCCACCGGCCTCCGCGTGCACAAAAACCCGTACCGCCGGGTTTCAGTTTTCGCACAAAATTTCAGCCAATCTGATGCTGAATACATTGTAGGACGATATGCAGAGTCATTTGAGATCTACTAAAATAAATCTACGTAAATTCAGCTCTTGATAAATCACTGGGATGAATTGAAAATATTTAAGTCAAAAAATTAGGAACACTAAAATTTACTTGAAAACTTAATAATTTCAGCTTCTTCGTTCAGGTTTTCAGCGTGCGTGAAGGCAGAGGAGGAAAAAAATTGCTTTCGAGAAAGCAAAAACTCACTTTGTTGTAGCTGCTCACTTTCAAGGAGCAGATATCAGTGAGATGAAGCCAACATTTCAAGCTTCGAGCAGCACGTTTACCTTGTATCGGTGTTGTCGACTTGACATGATATCCGAATATATTGCTTCTTCCGCATTGTATTTCATTTTTTCGCAAGCATGGTGCTTATCAATGACGACCAGCGTTTCTAAGGATATAATCAGACGTTTATAGACTACTAGTGAGACCGAGAAGATACACTTAAATGGCACAATGTGTCAGAACAGGGTACAGTGTTTTTTATATTATACGGTATTGGAAACTTATTGCTGCCTTGGCTTTATTGTAATAATAATAATAATAATAATAATAATAATAATAATAACAATATTAATAATATTAGGAGGCGTTAAGCGTCTAAAAACCGCAATATGATTATGAGACACGCCGTAGTGGAGGGCTCCAGAAATCTCGACCCTCTGAGGTTTACTTAAAGTGCACCTAAATCAAAGTAGACGGGACTCAAGCATTTGAGCCTCCGTGGAAAATGCAGCTGCCATGGCCAGGATTCGATCCCTCAACCTTCGGGTCAGCAGTCGAGTGCCATAACACTAGACCACCATGGCAGGGCTGCTTGAATCTATTAACGAAAGAAAACAAGGACCTGCCTTTATCACCACACGAATGAAAAATATGAATTCCTTGAAGCGTGGATTCGTAGGCCAATTAGTATAGGGTCTTTTATGTCGTCAGCATTCACCCAGCGAAATGTTATTCAGCAATTGAGCATGCTTCAATTTCACCCGGCGTACAGCGAAATATCCGAAAGTATAGTTTCATTTTGACAGCAGTGAAAACTTAATTATGCAGTTTTTGGGTTGTCTGCCGTCATATGGGCATAATGTCACGTTAATGTACCAGAATAGTGTCACCCACAAAACGAAAAACAATATTCAGGTATCTATTATTGACTCTATCGTATACCTTTTGAAATGGCAATTTCAAGCATAATGTAGCTTCGAGGATACAAATGGGCTACTGCTTGCCTTTCTGCTTTCGCGTAACTTCATTTAGCTGCTTATAGCTGAGCTATATGCTGGTTTTGTTGTAACTTGCATGCTGTGGACGTAATACGAGTTGCATCCCTTCGCCGACCTCGTTTTTCAGCCTTCAGCAGTTCAAAAAAGAGAAGACACGCTCTGGTCAATCTTAACAAAATATGAACAAGAACAAGAACATACAGTTTAAATAAATGAGCAAAATAACACCACCACACTTCTGAACGAAACAAACAGCACAATTTTTAATTTAATTTACATCCTCGACAGTAGATTCATTTCCAATATTCTGGTAAAAAGTAACTTAATGCTCTGCATGCCCGAAAATTACAAGCTCCTCGAAGAACAATTCTTTTTCTGAAGCACCACTTAGTTGATAGCACAATATATACCCTTTAGTATGAGGCCACAAAGTTCCTATCCGCTTTTTGCGTACTACGCGTACAGCACGCACATGTGAGCGTTTCTAGAAGCGCCGTGTCATAAAGTTTAACTGACCGCCTCTTGAACGAAATCAAGGCTATAATCTCCAGTTTCGAGTCAATCTTTTAATAAAACGAAACCGAGAACTTCACACCGACACATAAAGTCCTCGAAAGCCTCGAGTAAAAAGAGCGTCGAAGAATGAAGGATAAATAATAAAATGTCCGTCCCATGCGCGGCTGTGGCGTGTAAACATTCGAAGGGAAGAAACGAGGTGGTGTAAGCGGCCAGACGGCGCTGTGACCTAAAAGAGAGTACGCTTAATTGAACACTTTATAATTACTCCGACCCGGCCATAGCGGCAGCCAATAAACGCCATTCAGTCCGCCTCACGGAACTCGGGCGAAAGTAGGCACCAGCCTAAAATTCAATAAACAAGTCTAGAAATAATAAGACAAAAAGAAAACAAAAAGCAGCCAACTCTAGAAAAAAAAAGAGGGCCTGCTCCATTTTGATTTCCGTGTACCGACGTAATGCTGCCATTCTCTTTCTGCGGGTGCCCAGAGGCAAACTAAGTTTCGACTTCGAATGTGGGCGCCTTTTTTTCCAACATTTGCGCGCACGTCACACCAATTACACTCGATGCCGAAAGAAACAAAAAATAAAAAAAGAACCAAGCGTGACGAATCTCTGCTAAAACCTCGGTCTGCACTCAGTTTTGCTCTCATCTGTACCAACGGCTTCCTTCTAGTCTTCCCTTCTCAACTCCTCAGGCACGGCAGAGAACAGCGTGTGTTGTCTATTTCTCGAGTTGTTTTCTCCTTTGTCGCGGAGAACGTATACTCTTTCCTTCCGCTTGCGTCCGTATATCTGCTGCCTCCTTTCCTCAGTTTGAGGTAATTCCTGTGTTCCGAGAGCGCGGAAGTTGCAATGCCTAGCCGCATAAGCGCGCAGACGGCATATACCATTTCCTGGAAACACGAAATAAAAAGAAAACACACCGTAGAAGAAGAAACTTTAGGCCTCGTTGGCGAAAGTGAACAGAACAGTGCTCGCTTGCGAGCGTGCACGCTGCAACAATGGGAGCGTGAATTCGAGCCCTCCAAACTCCGGGCCTCTCTTGTTCATATCCCTATACAACCTTCCTTCCTCTCTGTCTGCCTGCCTTTAGCAATATTCAAGTGGAAGCAGCAGACCGGTGCCGGCAGCGCAGCCGCTGCTTTCCATATTGCGCCTCTCCAATGCGATGTGTGCAGTGCTGCCCGAAGGCTGCTGCACTAAAATTTCGGAGAAGTTTTGAGTAGAGTGAACAGTACCAGCCTACAACTTGATAGATTGCGAGGAGCGTGGATAAGAAACAAGCAAGAAAACTTGCGCTTTGGTGTTTTACGCCCAAAAAACATCCTAAGATTAGACGTACCGTATAGTGATGGTAGGTCCCAGATTAATTTTGACCTACGAAATCGAAGAGCACGGGAGTGTTTTGCATTTCGACCTCATCGCTGCGAGGTCACAGCATACTATAGTTGCAACTCGAACCCGTGTATTCGAGATTAGGTTCAAGCTTCGGTTTTAACACGGGTTTAAGCTTCGAACCCGTGTCATCGAGCATCGAAACCCTAAGCTTAGCGGCCAAGCTACCGCAGCGGGTGAGGAAGTATAGACAATGTGAACGCGAATAAGCACCAATTTCAAGCTGGTTCACGAATGGTGTTTCATATGCACAAAGCTACGAAGGCACGCGCATTGACATACACACTGAAAGGCGAATAATATATTGGCGAATAATATGTTTCCGCATTCATGTTAATCGAAGTAAATTGTTATAGACC